TGGCCGCAGGGGGTTTCCCGGCGGGGCAGCCGCTCCCGAGGGGCAAACCTGAGCCCGGGGGCGTCTAGGTGTCAGCCCCTGCGGCCGAAGTGGGGCAGGGATTTCCACTGAGCTGCCTGAAGTGACCGCCGGGGCCTGCCTGGCGGGAGGGCTGTGCGCCTTGGTAGTGGGAGGGTCCGGCTGTAGCTCCAGCTGTTCAATAAACAGTGAGTTCTCCTGCGGGTTGCCCGTTTGTCTCTGTTTTTCCCGTGTCTCTGGAGCTCCTCAAAGTCTTCACTCGTCCTTATTAGCCCAACGAGCGGCCACCTGCTTGTTTTGCTGCTTCAGTGTTAAACATCCTCATCTGATGATCAGAGGTTGTGCACCGTGAAGAGCTACAGTTGACCCTCTGCCACGATGAGAATTGACCGCCTAACCCTAAAATGTTGTGTCTTCCAGACATAGCTTTTAATCAGAGGCAACACGTCTCACCCCATACCTGCTTAGCTTCAGTGGCAGCCTTTTACTCGTGGTCTGGTTGAAGACCTTTAAGAACCTCTAAAGACCTCTGAATGTAATTGTGCCAGCTAATTCTCCCTTTTTCCATTCCTTGCTGACACATTCAAGTAGTTGTGCTGTGACTGTGATGATCTAAGGATTAAGTGAAATAAGATTTGCGGGCAGGGGCAATAACTTTTTATCAGACCAACTGATAGAGCTGGAAAAAAACAGACAAGAAGTGTTTCTGTGCCCAAAAGCTTGTCAGTTTTTTCCAGCTATATCAATTGGTCTAATAAAAGATACTATCTCTCTTTACAAACCTTGACATGTTCAAGGAATTCAATAAGTGAGACATGATTTTCCTTTTTTGCAGCCAGCCTGGTTAGGCTCTATGAAATCATGATCTTCCAGACACCTTGTTCTTCTGTTTTAATTACGGATTCGATGGTGCATCAGGTAGAGAGGGACGTTTTCACCTGGCCCCGTGAGGGCCTGTGGAACGTGGGTCCACACTTGCCCCTTCCCATCCAGTCTCCTGACGAGATGCCACAACCGTGCAGCTACAGGGGCACCAGGAGAGAGAAGGGGCCGCAGCCCAGGTTCATTAGCAGGATGTCTGAGCGTGAGTGTACAATTACAGCTGCCCTTCTCGCTTGGGGGAACAGCATCCCGAAGGGAGTGCGACGGTGCCCCGAGCAGTGTCTGCTAAAGCAGGAGGGTACCCTGGGGCGGGAGACCTTGGGTAGCCACTGTCAGCTGGTGACAAGGGAAGGGAGCTCCAGCTGGAGGCAGGGCAGGGCAGCAGTACAGGGTGCGCAGCGGTGCTGGTCTCCCCTGGCCTGACAGCCTCAGAAGCAGCAGGACCCTTGGGTTCACTCATCCTGAGCGGCACCTCCCGGCCCCCTCCCCATAACCCATCCTTGGTCCCCATCCCAGGCACCAAGCCCCCCAAGCACAAACGCTGTGATGCCTGCTGCCCACCCCAGTGACACGAGTCTCAGGCTGTCCAAAGGACGGTGGCGTCCACATATGGGAAAGAAAACAGCTCAGCATGTGCAGAACTGAGTCTTGCCCCAGAACTTTGACCTCTGACTTCAGAAATTCTTGATGAGAGGGAAGAGCAGATATGCAGAAAGAGTGAAACTTAAAAACTGTCCTGCCTCGGTTCTCTCTGGGTTCCCACACAGACGGTTCCACTCACGGGAACGGGCTTTGTCACCCACCCTCACACATCTTTGCCTGCCTTCACATTGGAGGAGAGTTTTCGTCTGTCATTTCATGCTGTGGCAAAAATCTTGCTTACTTTAAACATCAGGGTCATACTTTCTGAACAGGATAATTCTCCTATGTCCAACTGTGACACCGCAGGTAGCATTTGACCCTGGGCCTGCAGCAGCCCCTGTTTAACCAAGACATAGTTAATGGGACAAATGTTTGTTGCTGCTGTGGCTGTCCAAAGTCATTTTGTCTGCTTGCTTCCCCTTCAGTTAGGGTCTGTGGTGCCAGGGTTGCTCTTTTCCAGTGGTCTGTTTCAAGCGTATTCTCAACTCCCAGTCTGCCTTACTTGTTCAGTTTTGTCTTCACTATAAACTAAAATGCTGCTACCGCCAGTCATCTGAACAGCAAGTAGGAACTATGCAAGCATTCCTTTCACGTACAAGTTCTCACACCTAAGCATGGACTCTATCCATCTGGTTTCAACCCAAATCCAATCACACAGAAAAGGACTAGCGGAGTCCTCCACCAGCACTGTTTGCTGTTGATTGCTCCTTGATTGGACCTGTGAATAGAGCTTGTGTCTGGTCGTCCTTCCACCTAAGAGAACACTTTGGAGAGTCTGGGAAAGCAATCATGCTTGAGCATTCCCACATGCTTCTGATCCTCAGCCACCATTACAGCAAGCGCACACACGTATAGTTAAAGCTACAGCTATGGGGGGAAGCCCACACGGTAGCACTACGGTGGGAGAGAACAATGAGAACCTTATTCACAGTGGCTGGAGGTTTTGTTAAGCAGCTGTGTGCTCTCTGATGGCAGTAGATTTTACGGGATGCAAGGGCAATTCTTGTAGCAACCAGTGACAGAGCATTGTGCCTTTCTTCCTCATCCAGTCCGCATGTAACGTGGCCAGCCAGACTGCTGACTTCAACATGGACTGATTCATTGTAAACATTAAGCCTCCCCTGGGAAGGAAAGCACCAAGTGAACAACAGCTGCCCAAGCCTGCTCCACGCTAGCTGCTCCAAGCACCTCATTTTGACTTTCCTGCATTTTTTCCCCCAAGCATCTCAAAGTATTTACCCCATCTCTAAGGGGGTTTGGAGGAGGGAAAAACTGCTAATACTCTGTTACTCATGCAGGTTCCAGAACAATATCTGTTAATATTTGTGAAACTTCAAACGAGATTTCTCTCTCTGAAAGGCAAAGGGGGCTTTGATAGATAGACTAGGCCTGTGCCTTTGGCTCTCTTGATCTCCATGAGAACAGATGCTGTTCAAGTTACATCAGCCCCAGCTCAGACTGTCAAACCCCAGGCAAGCTTGCCAAGCGTGAAATATTTCCTATGATGCTCACATGTTTGGTAGCCCTGTCAAGCTCTCCCTCAGCCCAGCTGGATTCCAGCATGTCCAAGCCGTGCAACCTGTTACCAATTGCTCTTCACAGCCACTAGCAGTGATTCCTGTGCGCGTCACACCATGGAGCTTCCCTGCCGCTTCACAACCTAGAAAGAGCAACAGGCAGAGCCAAAAGTGAGCAGCCCAATACTGGCACCAGCACCACACCTACATCTTTCTTCAATGCTGTTATTTCCAAGTGGTAAGTAACAGAAAAGCCTGCTCTCAGCTGTTAACAACATGACCTTACATTTTGTACTATTAAATTTCATCCCATTTTTAGTGTGTCAACCAAGGATATCCTTGTCTTCCCCTGTATTGACAATGCCTCCCAACTTTGGATAAGCAGCCAATTTCATTAGCGCATTCACTTCAGTGCGCCAAGATCGTTAATGAAAACTGGGCCCAGGACCAGCCATTGGGGAACTCCTCTAGTAATCTCTTATAATTCCTGTACTTATCTCAATCTTAACTAATAACTCACTATGTGGCACTGTAGCCAATGGATTGCTGAAGTCCAAAGCAATCAGTTCTGCCGCATTAAGTGTAACCTCCAACGTAATGCGGGGTGCAGGACTTCCCAGCATGGAAAAGCATCCAGAAATCATTTCAGAGGTGCCTGGGGAGTTTTAGAAATGTCCATCCCAATCTGTGTTAAAATATTCCAGTGGATAGTTAATGGCAGCGCTCAGAATTTCTACCTTATTCCAAGTCGTGATTTGTCTGACATCATCTCAGAGCCACTGGATCTTGTTACATCTTTGTCTGCTCCGTTAAGGACCTGTCTTCTCAAGTTCCTCTTCCCTGAGCAAAGCGTTCGTGTGCTGGGACCAGCTCCCCCCTTAATCTCCCCTTTGAAGAGTAAAACAGATCGAGTTCCTCGAGTCTTGGGGAACTCACTCGCGGTGTGTCCAACACATCAAGTTGCTTCACGGCTTTTCGCCGAACCTCTTCCCCACGCAGCGTCTTTTGTGCGCTGCTGACCCCTGAGCCACCAGCCCCGGCAGCTGGTCCCGGGCAGTCCTGGGCACTTGGGCGAGGGAAGGCTCCCTGCAGCCGGGGCCAGCACATCCAGCAGCGCATCCCTGGTGCTGCTGTGACAGTCCCCAACGCTCGACACCCGGGCCTGGGGCAGCACCGTGGGAGCTGCATGGCCCTGGGGGCCGCCCTGCAGAGCGCGACACCCCAGGGCCTTGCCCCACCGGAGCAGGCACCTGCCCAGGCCTGGACACCCGCCACGGCACTGCTCCCGCAGGGCTC